GACTTTTGTCCCAGGAGAATGGCAACCATGCATTCACTGGAGTAACAGAAGGTTGACTCATCTTAAAGTAATGAGCAACCCACAGGAAGACAGCCAGCCATGTGGCTGGCAGAGCCTGCTGGAGGCAGGGATCCTATAGCTCATTTATGCTTCAGCAGGGAGAATTTTCTGACAGCAGATTATTTATTCTTACAGAATATACACTTTCCCTGTGTTCTGAGGCCAACAACTGCTGAGGAAATTAAAAAGGCAAACCAGGAGGAAACTTGCAGGGCACACACTGTTGTTTTGAAGCCTGAAACAGGGTAGTGTGGAGGATCTGTAGCCATTTGGCGTCTGTGTTCCCCCCCCCCCCACCTCAAATTAATTCCTCTCTGATTTTGGAGAACTCATTGAGGACTTGGAATGGAAGGATCTATAAATTTTAGTTCCCTCAGTTTCACATTTTTTCCAATCTTAAATTTGGTTCTTTGCATTTGGAAGCAATTTGTGATTTATTTAGTTTTAAATTCTCACAAAAAATCATCAGGATTTTAGTATGAATTTCTCTGAATAAACACATTTTTTGCAAGCACTTTCTAGTATTATATTGCATCTTTGTGTGCTATTTTCACTAATCTATTCATTTTTTATGCATGCTTTCCAACAATACATCAGAACTACATTGCAAAATTCAGATATGTGTGAATTTCAAAGGATAGCTGTGTTTCTATTTGCACATTATTTTTGGAAAGTGCAAATTTGATAGATTTGATAGATTTGGCTTTAAATGTGTACTGAATTGAATTTCTCCTCCATCCCTAGAGAGGACTTGCAGAGATGAAACAGAATCAATACACAATTGGGACTGCTATCATCCATCTGTGAACTAGTACGATAATAAATTAATAATATTTTTTTTTATTTATACCCCACCCTTCAGAAAACCAGGCTCAGGGTGGCTAACAACAAATTTAAAACACTTACTTGTAATACAACAAAGAAGCAGCATAAAATACAGTATAAAAACATGAATAACAATAAAATTCAAAGTTCAAATATCAATTTGTGGGAAATCCATCCAATGAACATTAGATAGTCACCAGGGCTAGCTGGCTGAATTAGTCCTACTTGGGACAGTGAGGAGGCCAGGGGAGAATTAGCTGTGGGGTCCCAGAGTGGGTAATCTTCATAAAAGGGAAGGGGGAGGGAAGAAAAGGGAAATAAAAGATCAGGCTGAAATCAAATTAAAGGCCAGGTCGAATAGCTCTGTTTTACAGGCCCCAGCGAAAGGAGGTTAAATCCTGAAGGACCCTAGTCTCATGGGACAAAGCATTCCACCAGGTCAGAGCCATCACTGAAAAGGCCCTGCCCCTGGTGGAGGATAGTCTGACTTCCTAAGGGCCCGGGGCCTCTAAACTATGGTTATTCATGGACCTTAAGGTCCTCTGCGGGGCATACAAGGAGAGGTGGTCCCGTAAATACAAGGGCCCTAAGCCACAAAGGGCTTTAAAGGTCAAAACCAGCATCTAACAACAACAATATTGAAAAGCAAAAAAAAATCAAACTTAAAAATGTATCACTTACAATGGTAAAATGTAAATGCCATGTTTCAAATATTATTTTGAACTTCAATTCTCATTTTTGGGTGGCCAGATCTGGTTTCCGATTATATGCTATGTAAAATATGTTGATGATCTCTTATGTCTTATTTTTCTGCCCAGTCAATAGGAAATCTTAATGTATTTCCAGTCGTCCCCATTCTTCAGATGTTTTGAACTACAAATCCCATCAACCTCAGCCAGTACAGCTGATGTATTCCATCTCGGCCCTGCTTGACTGCTTCATAAGTGATCAAGACTGGACACTGTAGTTTTCTTTGGCTGTGCATACAGTACCATGGCTAAAGAAGAATCCCTGGTGTTCAAAAGCTTCCAAGAAAACGTGTAAATTCCTTTATTCTGGAGGTATGCTCTTTGCACAGTTTTAGCCATCACATATTCAGGTGAACATCAGTGAGCACCAATAGAACCTATTATTCCAAGGGTGGATGCTCGTTGCAAGTGTGGCAGCAGGAAAAGGTTAAACCTTCCCCTCTCTGCATGCTGCCTTCTTGATGAACATTGTCCCACCCTTCGTTAAATCAAGAGGGGGATAATGAACTGAACTGATTGAAAGCAACGCAATTAGCATCCTGTGTAGTTAGGCCCTCAAACACACCTTTAAAAAAATCACTTGGTTTGCTTGAACAGAATTTGTCATGTTTACTCCATGGTCTTCCCATGCTAACCCCCAACCCATCCCCCAAAATATATTTTGCAATAGCAGGGATGTTGACAGGAAGCAACATAAAGATCTCTGCTGGGATGGCTCTGGCTGTTTGCAGAGGTGCTATCTGAGTGCTAATTTGATTCTGACAAGCTGTGCCTGTTTCAAATTGGGGCACCCTGTTTCAAAATAAAATCCTGTATAATTCTTGCTTTGTGGGGAAGTTCAGAGGTTTGGGACTCTAATCTGAATTGATACAATTGGGATCTTAACAAAAGTTCTGTTCTCACCCTACTAGCCCCTGGCTAAAATTTGTACCATTTGTCTCAGGCCTAAAGCTTGTTGTATCTTGAGACTCTATCCGTGGCCTCACTGGCTCCTGTTTTTCAATCTCTGATATATTGTGTAAGAAGATGGAAAAACTCCACCAAAGTAGTCAGTAGTTCCAAAATGAGAGCGTTCACTTTCCTTACTATGACAACTCCTAGTGTCTCTCCTTCAGGTCAAGAGCTTAGATTAAAAATTTACGTGTTCCCACTTCCTTGTTTTTCCACTGCATTTAACTTCAACAGAATGATTTTCTATTTGGCTGACAAAGAACAACAGTGAGGTAAATTGACCGGTTCATTTTTTGAATAGCAGAGATGTACAGTGTTAACACTTGACTTGCTGCAATCCATTTGTCAACAAATACGCCATGATCCTTAGCAAGAAGTGTCACCTCCTCCTTCTCAATAACACTTTAAGGAGTGTCACCCTTTATTCAGCAGCAGGGGCAAGGGCACATGGTAGACTTCTCCATCAGAGTTCAAAACGGTCACTCCTTTAGTTTCTATGAGGAGCCATTTTTGCCAGTAAGGAAGAGGGGTCATGAACTGTGCTTCACGCTTCATTCTCTCTAGTGTGGCAAGCTACCCATCCAACCTGACACAGTTGTATGGTGTTAGCTATTACTACATGCTGGTGCTGAGTAGGAATGTTTTGCCCCTATTTGGCACATAGGAACCCCCCTTTTTTTTGCTTTCTCTACACCTTTAATCCAGGGATATGGTATTCTTTCAGTCTGGATTGCAAAGTGCAAATCCACTTTGCTCACAACAGATAGGGTTCTGTGAGCAGAGAGGAATCTTAAAATTGGCAGCTCCGGTGCAAAATCTGAAACATTCTGATGGTGAAGGGTAGAGGGGCTGTGGAAAGGATTTCCTCAACAATAAATTATACCTGAAAAGCAGCATGAGCAGACACATAGGTCACAGTCTCCCCTGTTATGGTGAGACCTATTGCATTTCTATTATTGTGTTTATATTTAAATTATAGTGAGTATTTCTAGATTTGCATATTCATATGTGTGTATGTATCTACAGACAGAGAGAAATCTATGTCCTTTTCTGTGGCAATCTATAAGTGGCCACAGTGGACTCCATGGAGTGCCATGGCAATTTGAGAATCTAACTTCCACTATCCTCCCAAACACATCAAAGTTTTGCTTTGCAGCCAAATCATTTAAAGACAAGAAGCCTCAATTAAACATCCAACCCAGTGAGGGGGGCATGGGTTTAAAAACAGTACTTCACTCTCTGCTGGATTGCATTATTTATTAATTTTTATTTTATTTTAGCATATGGGACATTTTAGATTTTTTGGAACCATAGACTAGCTTTTTACTCTTCCTGAGGATTTATTCCTAGTGTTGCTATCTCATTGTGTGTGTGTGTGTGTGTGTGTGTGTGTGAAGTTATTGTTTCTTTGCACATGATATTTATTTGCACATGATAATTGACTTCTTGTATGTAATCATTGTGTTTGCCCATTTATGAACATTGAAACATGATAGAAATGAAATGCAGGGTGTCAAACAAATGAAAAACAACCCTTGCCAAGCTAGTTCAAGATTGGACAGATGGCAATTCTATCTGCATCAATATTAGCTGCAAATGAGAATGACTGACAGTCCAACTCTGGAAGGTCCAATTAGAAATTTCAGATTCCCACTGAGAAGAATTTTGGGGAGAAAGTCTTCAGTAGTATAGCAAGTTATTAGTTTAGTCCCAAAGGAAACTAGCTTGGCCAGCCTGAAGGGAAAACGCAATTTCATTCCATTTATACAGCAAGCATTAGAAATTGTCAGATGTTTCAAGATGCAGGGAAAACAACACACACACACACACACACACACACACACACACACCCCTTCCTTTCCACCAGTCTTGGCATCTGACATCTTCCATGTCATACTGTTTGTGCTGCTTCTTCCCTTTCAGGAACCATTTCAAGCAATCTTTCTAAGACATATTGATAAGGGAGAGATTTACTGCAATTATTTTTAGCTGGCCCGACCTGGCACTTTGACCTGGTCAACACCTCTTTAGGCTGGTGAATGTTCATGGTGCTTTGCTCTGCAGCATAGCTGAGTGTTCAGCCGGGTGTATTTTTTTTTTATCTAGCCACCGGGCAGGTGGGAACTGCAATTAGCATCTCACCCAGTCTCACCTAAGGCTCTTACCTGAGGCAACAGTCAAAGGGTAGCTCAGAATTTTACTGTTCTACAGGCCCAGAGGCTGAGTGAGGTAATAGCCATCATATATATATATATATATATATATATATATATATATATATATGCACGCATGCTCTCACACATTCTTGCATGTTGGGTTTAAGAGGATATAATATGAGGAATAGTTTCAGGTTTGCTTCTCCTTGTCTTACAAACCAACGTAGTTCGTTCCTAGATCATTATGATTTGTACACAACTCCTTGTACTTCTTCAGCATCCTGGGTTGTTTTCAGACATCAAGAAATTTCCAGCTCCCAGTCATTGCTCTTTTGCTTTAAGCTGTAAGTGGAACAGCAGCTTTGCTTCAACACGTATGGAAACCAAGTAGCATTCTGCAATGCAAATGTTCCAGGTACGGTATATGTGTAACTAAACAAACACTGCTTTCCCCATTGTTTGTACTTGTTGCACATAATTCTTGTCCCTCGGCTGCCATTTAGCAGAAAGAAAATAAACAGATACAAAGGAAAGGAAAGGGTTAAAAGTAGAGGGCTGATTCCTGGAAAAGAGAGACAGACTACAGACAAGGATTTGGGTTGAACCATCTATGCAGGTCACAACCAGTTGGAATAGCTTTGTGAGAGGCCATCTACACCTGGGCAAATCAGGTCCTCCCTTAAAGAGGGCACATATTGCAGTGAGACCTGGAAACCAACACCTTGTGTTATGGGTGGGTACGATTGGTCAGCCACAACACCCAATTGGTAGGTCCCTCAAAGCTGGGTGAAATCTGGCCAATGGGACGCAGTCGAAATGGTTTGAAGGACCTATTTATACCCATGCACGTGACCCAGAGCTCCCTCTTTTGGTGCGTGCATTCGGAACACCTGCCCACCTCTCCCTACTTTTAGGGTTGACGGTATGACCTTGCTATACCGCCGTGCATCATCTGTCATTGGGACAGGGGCACGGCAGGAATTTTTCCCACTTGGCTGATTGGATGTTGCCATTTGGGTTTCGCCTGTTGCGTAGCAAATTGTCACAACTTGTAAGGTTGTGGATAGGCTCTGGTTCAGGTGATAGGGATGGGAGAACACTCTCGCCATCCCTATGTGAAGGGTATTCCATTAAAGGAATCCAGGGACTCGATGGTTTGGTCAACCCCTGAGAGGGGGTTGTGCCCATGCCTGAGTCCAGGGGGACATTTGGGTGGCAGCGATAGCCTGTTCCTGGCGTTCTGCTTATCCAGATGTTCACCCTCGGCTGACCTAGTCGAACCAGAGCCTATGCAACCAGTCACTTTCTGTAATCAATAAAGTTGTGGCCTAAATTCTGCCAAAAACCAAAACCAAAATTTGAGTCAAGTGTGCATTTATTTAGGGGGGAGGTTTCTGGGTCTGAACATGCAAATAGTATGCTTGTTCCATTGTGTTAAAAATGTAATCCTGTCATGGACTGGCTGGATGCAGAGCAGTGGTGGGAGGCACCAGCTGGGGAACCCCCAAGGGAACCCCCAGCGCTCAGAGCCAGGGGACTGGTGGTGGGATGGTGATGAGTGGTCAGAGGAAGAAGGAAAACACTGAATAGCCCCATCCCCTGAGGAGAGTAAATGTGGATTGTTATGGAGCCTTTGTGAATATAGCTATACAGTGGTACCTCAGGTTACAGATGCTTCAGGTTACAGGCGTTTCAGGTTAACCCAGAAATAGTACCTCGGGTTAAGAACTTTGTTTCAGGATGAGAACAGAAATTGTGCGGCGGCGGCACAGCGGCAGTGGGAGGCCCCATTAGCTAAAGTGGTGCTTCAGGTTAAGAACAGTTTCAGGTTAAGAACGGACCTCCAGAACGAATTAAGTTCTTAACCCGAGGTACCACTGTATATATGAAGGCTCCATCACTCTTTATGCAGGTGCCAGGGCATGGAGCTACTTGGCATGACCCAGCTCTCATGTGGAACAACAATGGAGCTCTCATGCTTGAAGAGAGCTTATGATATAAAGCAAACCTGTTGCATAAACTAAATTCGAGTTTCACTGATATCATTGAACTGCACTTCCAGGGACATATGCTTCAAGCTGCAAATACGGGGCAATGAATTATATAGTAAATCTGGAGGGTCAAAGATCTGCTTGAATTTCAGACCATCTTGAAAAACTGGGATTTGGTTTGTGGATTTGATGTGTGATATTTATTTTTTCCTGTTTTATTTGCATGCTCCTGCTCCTGAAAAGCAGCATCAAGCAGTGATCGTCTTGTGTGAATGTGCCATCACAGAGCTAACACCACAGGTGGAAATTCCACGTGTCTTTATGTCATCTCAAACATGGCACTCTCCAGTGGAGACAGTTCACATAGTCAGCTGTCTTGAGACCTCAAGTGAAGTGAAATCGAGCGATGAATATTCATGTGTGAACTTAGTCACAGCCCTTAGTGATGCAGCTGAAGAGAACTTGAAGAAGAAATTTGAAAGCAGAAGATACAGCCACTGCGGGAATTTTACCCAGGGCACTGTGCTCTTAAGTGGGCTGCTAAATAGCAGGAGAAAAGAGCAGCCAGCGCACACCCATGTAAGCAATTTTCAAAAGCATCCCCCCCCCCTAAATAAAATGTCTCACACCGTGTGAAAAGCACAGTTAGGAATAATTGCTAGACTTAAAAAAGAAAAAGAGGAAGAAAAGGAAACCGTTTTTAACTTACCTGAGCACAAATAAAGAATGTGAAATATTTCTTTGCCAGCAGAGAACACTTGTTTTTATTTCCCAGCCTTCATTCTCTCATAAAATGCCCAAATGGGAGTTTATGAAGCTTTCCAAAAAATTTCTCACCCTTGGGTTGAAAACAAGCATGAGAAATTTCAGTCCAGAGGGTAATTATTTTACAAAGAGTTCAAACCAGGGAAATGTAATGGGGGTGCTTCATCAACCATAACTATAGCTGTATTGCTGTAATGCCCTGCACACGGCAGCAAGAGTGGAGAATCACTCCTGTTTGTCATGGAGATAGCTTTTATGGAGGGTCTGAAGAGAAGGTACCATGGAGAGGGGCAAGGGAGGCAACACTGAAAAGATACTCCTGGGTGCTGTCTAGACTGGTCACTTGCGCATAGTTTAAAAGGAGGATATGGAGCTGCATATACATTTGCATAAGCCAATCTATTTTCATCAATGCAAATTAAGAAATAATTACTCTCATTTAAATATAAATATATCTTACTATGCTGGGAAGGCCTGTGGTCAGGTAACCAGTGGTGTAGTGGTTAGGAGTGGTAGACTCGTAATCTAGTGAACCGGGTTCGCGTCTCCGCTCCTCCACATGCAGCTGCTGGGTGACCTTGGGCCAGTCACACTTCTCTGAAGTCTCTCAGCCCCACTCACCTCACAGAGTGTTTGTTGCGGGGAAGGAAGGGAAAGGAGAATGTTAGCCGCTTTGAGACTCCTTCAGGTAGTGATAAAGCGGGATATCAAATCCAAACTCTTCTTCTTCAATCAGCTTCCAGGTACCCATGGTAGATGGGCAGTTTCAAGGCTTCTGGTCTCCTTCTTGAAGTTTCTTTATCCTTAGATGAGACTTAGACCAGGCAGCCCTTCACACAGAGGAAGCCTTGAGATAAAAGACTGTCAGTTAGAGGACTCTTTTGTAAACATGGCCGCTGTAGCCCTGCCTTGGAGCATATGCAGTTGGACGCTACATAGCATGGTGTATTTTCCATTTGTAGTCCTGCAGTCAACTGGATTGCTTGAGGATGTGGAATTAAAGCATGCTGGAGTTAAACCATGTCCTTCTTTCTGGTATCAACTGACTTTGACATTTATTTATTTTTTTAAATAATATTTATTGAATTTTAAAGGGTTACAAAAAGAAAAAATTAAAAAAACAGCATATTTAAGAAATACAAAACATCACATCACAATAATAAAAAAAGAAACAAGAAAAGAAAGAAAGAAAAGAAAAAATACAATGAATCTTCCCATAACTTATCTTTCATTTGCTTATTTCTTTGACCTCCTCACACCTCCCTTTTTTGTATTCTAGTTCAATTAGCTATTTCAGAAAATCCTTTCCATCTTTTCCAGTTTTTGTCCTCTATTTTATCTTAATATAATGTAACTTTACTTTCCCTCCTTCACCATTTAGCAATCTATTTTTCCTTAATCCTTTATAGCATTTCTGCTAAAACCGCATTATTTCATTCCAACATCCTTCTAACATTCCTTAATTTTACAATGTTTCTGTAAATAAACTTTAAATTTCTTCCAATCTTCTTCCACCCTGACTTTGACATTTAAAGGAGTGTTGTGCTGCTTTAAGAAACATGGCTTCCCTCAAAGAATCCTGGGAACTGTAGTTTGTTAAGAGTTCTGAGGGTTGTTAAGAAACTCCTGTTCCCCTCAAAAAGCTTAGAATTCTCCATGTTTCTTGTGAAAGGGAAGTAATTGTTAAGGAAGTAATTGTTAGCTTTCTGGGGGGACCAGGGCTCTTAGCCTGGATCCAGCCAGATATCATCAGTTTACAAAAAGCTACAGTAAAAGGAAGGCAGAGGTAGTTTTAGCTGTCATTTCTAGCATATCATAAAAAGAATCTGTTGGAGCTAGGGAGGGTAACCTGTGGCCATCTAGATTATTTTTTCCTTTGGGCTTCCTTCACCCCAGCTGACATGGTCAGATAAGGGCAGTTGTCCAACAACATCTGGAAGGATGCAGGTTCCCTATAGATGCAAAGAGCTTAATGTGACTGATGGCAGCCTCACTGCATAGACCAGTCACTGTGGAAGCATCATATGCTAGCTGAAAGATGCAAAATAAATTCCCCACAACAAAATCCTTACATTGACGTCTAGCAACAATGAAGTAACAATTGTGTAGTCTAATTGTTTTTCTTATTATAACACCAACAACACTGCCAGTAATTTAGGAACAATTTGAAGGAGCCAGTGGCTTTCACCTTGACTTCTGTTTTCCTTCCCCCTCACTAAAACTGGTAAATGATACATGTGGGGAGGGTGGAAATTGCCAGATTAGCCCCAAGCCATTACAAATTGAGGTGGAATTCAGAGAAGGCAGGGTGGTCTCAAGTCATAATGACTTGGAACATTTCTGAACAGAAGGAGTTCATTTCTGTACTCCTGTCCCAAATGAACTTCTCTGTTTCTACCCTAGAACTATGCTGCATGTTTTTTTGGTGCTAGATAACTCCAAATTCTATGCCTTCTCCAGACCTTGCACAATGCCTCAAGTTTGGCCAGAATAGGCCATGCTGGTAACAAGCTGTGAACATGGAGGGTCAATGCAGTGTCACTACAGAGTCTTTTTGTTCCATAGAGTTGCTGTTTTTACATACAAGGTATCACACAGTCTCTATTATGGGTTGCTGATGTGTGTTGAAAGTGGTGCAAATGTGGGAGGGAGCAGTCTTTCTCTCCTCAGGATTGCCAAAGTGCTCTGCTGTCTAATGAGCCGATGTCTCTAATATTAATGTGACAAATCTGAAATGTTTTGCATCCTTTCTACTCTGATATTCCTCTGCTTTTGTTTCCAGTTCTACAAGCAGAAATAATTTGAGGGGAAATGGATGCTTTAGATGCCGTCCAACATAGATGAGAGTTAAGGAGATCAAACACAATTCTCTCAGTAAGTGTGTATTTCTGATTCAATTTGCCACTCCACTTTAAATTGCCTCCTGTGATACATGTGTTTGCCTGCCTCTAATGAGATATTATAGTTCTGCCACAAACTTTGTTCTCTGCATTTATTTAAGGTGTCATTTATAATACAACACAGATCTGCTGGTATGCAAACAACTTGGATGCTTAGAAGGAGAGTATAGCAACATCTCCCTTCTACAGGATCTAGCTCCAGAGAACTAGCACTGATAGAAGCTGAAAATAAAAACAGAAGGTGAAAATTACAATGAATTTAGCAGCTCAGCATGAAGCAATGATAAACAAAGAGGCTTTTTTAACAAAGTAAACGGACTGTGTTTTACACAAATGATTTTAGTTCCAACTACCAGATCCAGGCACTCTCAGGAAACTGATATTCTAGATCCATTTTAATTGGGGTTAAGTCCCTGTTTTGGCACAGAAACTGCTTTGGTCACCCTGCATGATGACCTCTGTTGGGAGAGAGACAGGGGAAATATGTCCCTGTTAATTTTTATTGACGACTCAATGGCTTTCAATACCATCAGTAGTGGTATTCTTCTGCAGCTGCTGTCCCACTTGGGGATGGGTGGCACCACTTTGCAATGGTTACAGTCATTCTTGGATGGTCATTGTTGGTTTCTATTTCCCTCACTGTGCAGCGACTGCTTGTCACAAGACATTATTTACATTCCACAGTCAGAGTTACTGTTGGGTTCCCACGGAAATGGGAGACTGGATGTGACGTACACTGGTTTCCTGTTTTTCAGTGTTCTGTCGTTTCTTTGTTAGAGACGGGAGTTGCTTCTCTGCTCTCACAGAGGCAAGATGTGTGTTTGTATGCTCTCAGCATAGCTTGTAAATAAACTTTAGCATGTAGCACATTACCTGCTTATCCTTTCATTGCGGGACTACACTCTGCTTGGGCTCAAGATAAGACGAGCCTGTATCAGCTCCAGATGGGCCGGAGCTGATCAAAATCTCACAGTCATTTCCAGAGAGTGATGCTTGGGGAGTGCACTTAGGCCCTGTGGAATCTTCAAATGAGGTTCTTCAAGGTTCAGTTTTATCCCCCATGTTTAACATCTACATGAAACTACATGAAACTGATAGGAGGTGTCATCTGGAGTTTTGGAGTATGTTCTCAGCAATATTCTGATGACACCTAGCTGTAATTCTCCTTTACATCTGCAGGTGTAGCAGAAGATGTGCTGGACTATTTTCTTGACTTAGTAATGGACTGGATGAGAGCCAATAAACAGAAGCTCAATCCAGATAAGGCTGAGGCACTGTAAGTTGGCGGTGCCCTAGACTGGAAGGCTAGGAGGTTGCCTGCTCTTGACGGGGTTACACTTGCTCTGAAGGAGAGGGTATACAGCTTGGGGGTCCATGTAGATCCATTACTGTCACTTGGGGCTCAGGTGGCCTCAGTGGTACAGAATGTTTTCCATGAGCTTTGGCTGGTGGTCCAGCTGCACCTCTATCTGGAGAGGGGTAGCCTAGTTTCTGCACCTCTGCTCTCATAACCTCTATGTTGGATTACTGCAACACATTATATGTGGGGCTATCTCTGAATATGGTTCGGGAACTTCATGTGAAGCAGAATTTAGTGGCCAGGTTGCTCACTGAGGCAAGATGGTTTGAGCATATAACTGGCCTGACTGCACTAGCTACCAGTTTGTTTCCAGGCCCAATTCAAATGACTGGTTTTAACCTGTACATCCTTAAATGGCTCAGGACCACAATACCTCAATGACCACCTTTCCTCATATGAACCAACCTAGACCTTGCAATCATAACCTGAGACCCTGTTTTGTGTGCCTCCTCCACAAAAGGTCTGGAGGGTGGCAACATGAGTACGGCCTTTTCTGTGGTGGCTCACAGGTTGTGGAATGCTCTCCCCAGGGAAGCTCAACTGACACTGTCATTAGATATCTTTTGGTGCCAAATGAAAATGTTCCTCTTTAACTGAGCCTTTGGGTGAGTAACATTCTTTGTACTTTTAAATATGGTTTTGGGATGTGGGGGTTATCAGTTTGTTTTTGTTCTTATACTTTTTGAACAGGTACTTAGTGTTCTCATTTTGTATTTTTATGTTGCAAACCACCCTGTGATCTTCAGATGAAGGATGGTATGCACATTTTAATAATGCTAATAAATACTATACCTACTGGCATAGCACTGGGACAGATGTTGTTGCTTCTTCTCTCATCAGGAGAAAACAATAAACACAGAGTGGGACAGCTCCCTCCAGAAATACAGGTATGCAAAAGTTCTAAGTGTATAGAAATTTTTTCCCTTGTTTCTTGCACAGTTTATTTAGCCTATATAAATAGGCTTTGCAGATCATTTATAAGCTGCCTTGCAGAGGAATTAAAACAAAAGTTAAAATTTTAATTTAGAATCACTTTTACAGCTACCACTGATGTAGATAAAAATTTATGGTCACACAGCTGTGGAGTTCTTAGATTTAATTAGAGGAACTGTTTCCTCACCATGCACAACTTTTGCATTAGCAGGGACTATGCTGATTGGAAGCCATGTGCTTTAAATACTTTGTACTTGGTTTCCTGGTGTGTACTACTACTATAAAGTGAATTTGTAATGCAAATATTTCCCCTTGACGTTCCATTTATCTGAAATCTAGATATTTTGATCCATCTAGATCAGGGTTGGGGGACCAGATGTTGCTGGGCTCCATCTCCCATTTCCCCTGACCACTGACCATGCTGGTTGGGGCTGATGGGAGTGGTAGCGTGTCCACATCTGGAGGGCAACAGATTCCACCAAGGATGTAGATTTCCCTCCACAAATTCCCCAGGGCTTTTTATTTTCTGTGTAAAATAAAATAAATGAACAGGAGTGCAAACATTCCATTGGTTATCTGACCTAAGTTTCAATTTCTGCCCCTAACCAGCTAGTGGAGATTAGGCAGGTGACGAACACAGAAAACTCTTGTTTGTCCACCAGTTTATCTATTTACCCAATATTAATATCTGCTCTGACCATCAGCAGCTCTCTGGGGTCTCAAGCATGCCAAACATGTGCTGGATTTCTAAGGTAAGGTTCCACCTCAGAATTATCAGAGGTACCACTGTCTCCATACCAGCCCTGATTAGATAATAATATGAATGCTTGAAAATTTGTCTTGCTAAAATAAGCTCCCCGTGCCACCATGTTCTAAGTGCCATGAGTTGAATGCAAAGTTGTTACTCCATTTGACTGCTGTGCTTCAACATGGTATATACTGGTGGAGGAACGGGGGGGTGGAGGGAGCGGAGGGAGCTGCCGGGCACCACGCCCCCACAGGCGCCATGCCCCCAGGATGTGTGCCATGCCCCTGGGTGGGGGGTGCCAGCCACGCTCCCCCCAGTAGCAGAGCATGCAGCTTCGCCACTGATGGTATAGAGATGCGGGTGGTGCTGTGGTCTAAAGCACTGAGCCTCTTAGGCTTGCCAATCAGAAGGTCAGAAGTTTGAATCCACGCAATGGGGTGAGCTCCTGTTGCTCTGTTCCAGCTTCTGCCAAACTAGCAGTTCAAAAGCACGCCAGTGCAAGTAGATAAATAGGTACTGCTGTGGCGGGAAGGTAAATGGCATTTCTGTGTGCTCCGGCTTCCATCACAGTGTTTCATTGCACCAGAAGCAGTTTAATCATGCTGGCCACATGACTCAGAAAGCTGGCTGCAGACAAACACCAGCTCCCTTAGCCTGAAGCAAGATGAGCACTGCACCCAATAGTTGCCTTTGACTGGACTCAAGCATCCAGGGATCATTTACCTTTTTATCTTTTCAACATGGTGAAGACAAAATCATTATGTTGTATATTTCCTTTCAGAAAGTGTATGATAACGATGTTTTTATGATGATTTATAATGTACTGGGAGAAAGAGAAGGAACTGGTGGCAAATTTTACTGAATATGATCCAGACTGCAAAGTCCCATTGATTTCTAGAAGAAAATCAAACATGTGCATAAATATCTTCACTTTATTATATTTATCTATCCAACTGAAATGTGACTTAAAAGCGCTACCTTTTGATGGGGTCATTTCCTATAACTGTCATCATCACACCAAGCCCTTAGTCACTATATTGCTTGGACAATTCACCGTGCATTTACTTTTATATCCTGGTCTCTGAAGTTTATTACTAATTTAAAATATTTATATTGCATGCTTTGAGTGAGAGATAATATGCTGCCCTTTACTTTAGTATCATGTTGTACAATATTATAATAGGAATAAATTGAATTTAAATCAGCAAAATATAGGAATATCCTACAGATAAAAACATGAATAAAGGCACTGGAAGGCATTTTAAAATTATCTCATCAACATGTATTTTAAAATGACTAGCAATTAATCCTAGCCAAGCTCATTTCCCAAAAAATTATAGGCTTATATCCAATTGTGCATCTCCACCAGCACAAAACACTTCCATTTACACAACAGGATTTCTCCTTCCCCTCCAGTCCCACCATCACCAATGTGTGCTCCCCAAATCCCCCTGGGAGAAGACGGGGGGAGCATGGGGCTTCAGTAGGGAGATGAGGAAAGAGAAGCCCTGTTGTGTGCCCTGAAGTCTATTTAAATGAAGTTGGATTTCATACTTTACATGCCATGCTGGAATATTCACAGCTTCCCTTATCATTAGTCTTTTGCCTGACTTACAAACATAGAATTCTTCCTGAAACTTAATCTAGTTCTTGCAGCTCTTTCTTCTGTATCACAAGATGCTTTATTAACTCAGACATGGCAACAAATTGGCTCAAGGAGGATTATCTCAATACCTATTAATTGCAAAGGATTTACATCTCCATCCAGAGCTGTTCACAAGTTTGAATAAGGAGACATGGCCTGGCCTGAGCCTGACAGAAGAAAGAGAGAGAGAGAGAGATCAGAATCCAGTTCAATACCAACCAAAAAAGAAAGCGTTTTCGGACACTGATCTCTACCTCAATTGATTC